GCGTCCCAGTGTCATTTTTTCACATCGTCGGGATAAATGATGACACGAAAATCAATCTCCCCCTGCTATCCCGATAAAATCGAATCGCCAGAAACACAGTTACTTTCCCCCGACGGCCAGGAATTACGCAATTTAAAGACCCTTACCGCGCCATCCTAATTGGCTGCTCAGCAACCAAGTAGTAACATTTACGTAACCTCCTTAATCCGTCTATTAATACAACGCATCCCAATTATCGCACTTGATCGGTCAACGTGAACTACACAGTATCCATCGCTCTACCGTGCAGGTAGCCGTCAATTTCGTGGAAAGAATCGATCATCGTTGGCAGAACAGCGGCGTCAATCCTCGCCGAACGATTGGGCCTGGGGCTAATTCGATGACGATCCACGTCGATCCACGTCGATCCACGAGAGAAAAAGATGAAAAATCACCGATGACAGAGAGAGAGAGAGAGAGATAGTGATATAGAAAGATAGAGAGAGAAGGAAGATACACAGAGTGCGTACCATGAACAGAGCGAGAGTATGGAACGAACAACGAGGGGGAGGGCTCGGTATTGCAGGCTCATCCGCCGGTTACGTTCGATTGGCTGGCAGGGCGGTAGGCCAGCAATTACCTAAATGGTCGGGTAAACAATATCCGTGCGCCAAGTTAAGAGCGGCGGCGGTAGCAGCAACAGCGCCAGGCATCAGCAACGGCAACAGTAGCAGCTCCTCTATCCGTCGGTCGACCGGTCGGTCGGCTAGCCAAGCGTATAGTATCGGTCCTGGTTCGCTCGCCTCCACCCTGAAGTAGAGTGGAACCGAGGGATCGAATAGACGTGGAGCGAGAAAGAGAAAGGAATACACCGTACAGAATGTACGTGTAGAACCAGCCAATGTGTAAGAGAGAGAGCGAGAGAGAGTCAGAGATACCAACCAGCATAGCCAGCACGATTATACTCCCGGCACGATTACTGTACACAACGATCCTGGAGGCGCAGCACGCGCCCCGCCCCCGTTCTAACACACCAAGATCATCGACAAACCTGGCTACCGTTTCACGATCACGAATATATACACGGTTACAGAGAGAACGAGAGAGAGAGAGAGAGAGAGAGAGAGAGAGGACGTGCGACTCCTCCACACATCCTCGGGAAACGTTGAACGATGGCAACGTGCGTGGAGGGAAAAGCGTTCCTCCATCGACGGCGGCGGCGGCGGCGGCGGTGGTGGTTAAATCAAAGACAAACCACTTTAGCCGGTCGGATCGCGGAACGACCGGAGTGGGGTGGGAGTGGGCTGGAAGGGTGGTGGGGGCGGGAAAGGTAGACTCTGTGTGTACATACCCGAGTATCTGGCGAAAGCTCGCTCGTGGGGCCGCGAAACGTCTGCACGCGGCTCCGTTTCGTGTTCGTGCCCGTCCATTCAGTAGAAAGTTCCTCGTATGGGTGCGTCTTCGTGCTCGTGTTGCACCGTTCTCTGCAACTAACACACACGTAAAAGTGGCCACGGATCGCTTGGACATCCACTACGAACAAGGGGTAGCACGTGTGTGCGCGCAACCCCTGTAGAAACTGTATACGCCCACTCCGAGCGATATCGTTGCTCGCTGGTAAGCCAGGCAGGGGTTGGACACGCCCATCGAGGGCGTGAACCAACCCCCACCCCAAATGGGGTTCGCCGGTTTCCGCTGCGACTACGCTGCTACGACGGCTCTCCGCTACTAATAATACGCCGATATACCACCTATTCAGCCACCATGGCTCTACGTGGAGGTCCCGAGAGCTGCTTTCACGGGACGCGCGCGGCTTCTGCCTCTACCAAAGACACTGCTAATCGCGACCGACCGACCACGCTGTAAGCTCGATCCACCTACGAGACGCGACGACGATTTTCTTCGCCCTTGATTGCTCGTTGTTTGTTCTATACTCTGACGGCTGTGTACATACGAGGCGAAAGTTCAGTGAAACTAGAGGAAGAAAAGGGGGAGAACTGGAAGTGGACCGTCGGGTGTTATTTCTGTGAAGGTTCTTTATTTATCGCGGTTATAGTGATGATTACCACCGATGGAATGATGTGATAAGTACGGTAATAAATAAACAGGTGATGTCAGTGATGTCACATAGGATCGGGGTGTTCCTACGCGGCCCTCTTCTACAAAGAAATACGGTGATAAGTGCTTCAGGGTTATGTGGAGGATGCAGGAGGGTAGGACCGTGTCGCCTATAGGGCCGGTCGTTCTGCCGCGGGAGGAAGCGGATATGCGTGCCGGATTGTCGCTGCCGCCTCAAGAAAGGAGGCACGTGTTGCTCCATGTACGCACCACCGAGCCTTTTGTCCGCTACGACAACGTGCGCCAGCAACATTCACCTTCGACCTCGCCGATCTTGAGGCCTTTGGATCAAGATCAATTCCACGAGATGGATCCTCCTTCCAGGGAGAAGAGAATGGACACGGAGGTGGAGGAGGAAGAGGAGCAAGACGAGGAGGAGGAAGACGACGGTGAGCACGATAGAAGTGCGACACAGAGGAGGAGTATCGTCGAGGACGAAGAGGACGACGAAGAACCTGAAGAGGAGGACGAAGAGGTACATCCTGGAAGTAGAAACGGGAATTATCAAGACGACGAGGACGTTGAAGTGGACGTTTGCAGGGACGAAGTGGACGAGAGCAATCCGAGCAGTCCTGTCGATTTGACAGCTCCGTCTTCCAGGGGCACCGGATCTGATCAGTTCCTCAATCCATTCGCGAATAGAGGCGTGCATCCTTTCTCGTGTGTTCAGAGCGGTGGCCAAACTACCGGCCACGGGACTCCTGTGTATATATCCGCGCACGCCGCCGCCGCTTCCACCGTGATGACCGTCTGCACTTCCGGAAACGCGGCCAGGACGACCGGTACCTCGACGGGGAGCATTACCACCACTGCGAGTACAGTTCAGGCGAATAAAAGGTGCCTGGCGTTCTCCGTGGAGAACATACTGGACCCGAACAAATTCACCGGCGGACGCGTCGTTCACAGTCGCGTGCAACATCGACGACATCGGCGGGCCGACAGCGTGCACGAAGGTGATTAGAGTTGTTTTCAGGATGGATGTTTTGTTCGATGCTTGAAAGATGGTACGATCAGGTGGATAAAGACAGATTTACTTTGGATCTGTATGGTTTTTCGATGGAAGGATTTGTTGGAGTGACGAGTTAACTGCTGGTTGACGTAGGAAGATGGAGATTGAGATTGATAGACGGGACGGACGATGACCCTTTCTTTTATTGCTCTGTGTCAAATTTCGTTTGGTATCTGCAATTTTAACTCCTTGGTTTGTAACGACCAATCATGCTCGTGGTGCAGATTATGGGTAAAATAAAACAGACGAATTGAATTTTAACTTCGACTTTAATTTATGCTTGAAACTTGTGAAATACGAATTATGTACATTTTTATTTGACACGGTAGGAGAACTGTAAATAGACAGACGTACGTAGCCGTGAAAATACCGTAACGCGAAGGGTCAATATTAAAAGCACACTGGTTTAACTTATAAACATTCCATTCAAGGGGCAATAAAAATATTGCACAATTTTAGACACGAATAATTCTCCATAAAATTCAATTAATCATCTTAGCAGACAAATGATTTAAAAAAATTAGAATTGAATAAAAATAATGCATAGAACATCGTGAATTTCCTAAAGAGAAGCTTAAGTTGAATAGAAGTGACAGATGAGGGATTTAATAATTCTAATCCAGATTAGCTGTAACTTCCCCAAAACAGCATCACGAGCAATCTGTTCCACTCGACGATTAATCCAGACGAATCCGTCGCGTTCGAGTGACTCCGAAAGTCCTCTTAATCCCGTGGGCTTTTTCTCCGCGAAACCTCAGCCTCGCATGTTTATTGCTTCCTCCTTGGTGACGCTCGCGCGTGTCTCTTCCTTGCTCTTCCCGTAACCGTTCGCCAAAACACGGTCCACCATGTCTTCTGTCTTTTTCTTCGTGGAACATATGGTCCTCGTCTCCCGCGAGATCTCGTGATCTTGAACGTGATTTTTTTCCTCTTCGACTCGTCTTCAAACTCTTCTCCTTCCCTCTCTCTCGTTCTTCTTCTTCTTTGAGCTGACGTTTTCTCGCTTCTTCCTCGTTCTAACTTTAGACGGTAGAAGGATGCCTTGTTCCACGTTGCGTCGTGCAATTTCGCCCGTTTCAGAGTTATTTGCGTTGTACGGGGATTCCGACAAAAGTGATGATGTAGACGCGTTACTGGGAAACAGGGGAAACCGAGCGATAGGAACGTCGCTGGTTAATGCCGCTTCTAATGCTCGCCTCCTAGCGTGATCCTCTTAAACGCGGCTCACCACTCGTTGGAACATTTTAATCAGCTAGTCCACGAAGATAAACACTCGTTCTTCGTGTATAGATTCAGACGTTTCTATGTAATTCGGAATAGTTCGATGTCAGTGTCCTGTAGATCAGCGATAACTGAAGACACTCGTCTATTAATGTATAAACAACACATTTCAGAATCTTCATTCCCTTAATAGATACAAAACAATTCCCATTTCCTACGAGAAACGTAAAAAACAACATCGCGAAAGGGTCGAAAGAAAAGAATCAACCCCAAAATTTTCCATAAAAATTCCTCGAACGATCGTTTATTAAATTCTTGCCAGAGGAGGATCTAATCCAGGGAGGCATCTGCCGCAGAAAGCTTATCATCCAGCGATGATCGAATCGAGAGCAGTCAGAGTCCACGTTCACTAGCGCGAGCTCCCAATTTCACAGTTGACTTTCGAATTTAATGGAGTCTGGCGGACAGATAAGAGGAAGAATCCCGCAGTTCGATAAGACCTGGGTTAGAAAGGAGAGGGTGAAACGACGTAGAAACAGAGCAAAGGAGTCACCAAAGGGGGAAGGAGATGTTTCAGACAGACAGAGCAAGTTAATCTGCGTTAACCAGTCCTTGAACCCCATCATTATCGTCCCTTTATCCCGGTACGGGACACTGCTCTGCAAGCGAAATCAACCGATGTGTCTTCGATCTTCACTGTGCCCAGGACACTCTGAAGAAGAAGAAAGTAAAAAAGAGAAGGGAAGGATGAAAATGAGAATCGATAGAAAAATCACTGAACAGAAAGAAGAAGAAGAAGTATAGTTCTGGTCGAAGGATCGATCATGCCCGATGAAATCGGGATTACACGAATTCTATGGTCATCCATCTTCCAACGATGGTCAGGGGTTCCCATTAAAAGTGCATCAGTGCCGGAGAGATGCTGGAGCATCTCTCGATCGAGCGAAAATCCGTTTCGACCGCTGCTGCTGCTGGCGGCGGCTGCTGCTGCTGCTGCTTCTGCCGCCCCCAACGGCAAATCCGCCGACGGAATAATATCGTCGGTTGTTATGATAATCGCGCAGCATCGCGGCGTATCGCGTCGCATCGCGCCAAGCCGCCCAGAAAATTGGCTCTTCTGCATCATAATGACTTCTCCCTCGTTCCCTCGACGTACCCCCCTCTCCCCACACGCCCCTCCAGCCGCCACCTCTTGCGCCCCCTTTCGCACACGATCGTCGCAAGAGAAATTTCTCTCACCCCCTCTCCACCCTCTGGTAGCCTAACCGTCACTCGAAATCTCCGGGATTTTCCGCTAGATTTCTGGAAAAATTGTAATCACCGCCGGTTAAACGCCACCCTCGCTCGCTCGTTCTCGCTCACTCTTTCTCTCCCTCCACTCGTGTTTTTCTTATCAGCGGTGCGACGATGTTATCGCGGACGCTCGTTAAGGGAACGATTCCGGCGTTGTTTCGTTACCGGGTATTGTTCCACGTACCCGTGGACCGTGGTTTATTGTTCTCGCTTCTCGGGGAAATAATATGATAATTGCTCGTATTTTCCTGCCAGGTTTCGCGCGATAAGAGCAACCTACCTGGGAATTTGTAGGGGAGTTCTCGAATAAGGGAGGGAAAGATGCCGGTGGGTTGACTTGTGATGCATGGAAAATGTCGCGGAGATAGAATTCAGAAGGGTAATGTAGCGGAGTTGTTTAAGACGGTAGATAATTAGAGGTGAGGCAGGAGGAACGGTTGTTTCGGAAGACTGTTTGAATTACCGGTGGTTAGGGCAATTTCAACCCCTATGGCGGATCAATCAACGCCGCCGCGGTATCTGCGCCCTGCAGATTGCAGACACGTGACCGTATGTTTCTAACCGACGAATTTATTATTGGTACACTATGCTGAAAGGAGAAATTAAAATGTGACGATGTTTTTATTGGATCGTGGACTTTTTGTAGGGGTTCTTTGCTGCTGTTAAAGCTGACTGACGTTAGGTTGAAAAAAAATATTGTTTGAAATTTTCTTGCATTGAAAAGAATTAGCTAGAATGCTGGAAGGGTTAAATTAAAGTATATATGTATAATTTTATGCATACTACTACAGATTGCGAAGCTATCAACGCAATAAGGGCCTAACCCCGACAAATTTGTTTTAAGATTATAGCTAATGAAATTATTGGCGTTTTAAAATATTTTTTCGAAGGTTTCTTAGGAGATTATGGAATAAAAATTTTTCTGTATACAAGGTGGTTTACAGAAAAACCACCCAAAATTGTACATTAGGCCACAGTTAATCGTTATTTTTCCAGAAAATTGACCAATATTCACTTAACGAAGGGTTCGAATCTAATAATCCATCTTTCCAAAGGAGACTCGAACGGCTCAGTCTCGCCTAACCGTGATCTCGCGACGCCATAAGGCGACCCGGGCAATTAACCGCGGACGCGTCCATAACAAGCCACCCCTTATCGACTTTATCGAGTTTTTACAGCGTCCCGAGACCATTTATCTCGTTCAGATCTTCTTCATTAAGCAGGATCGCGGGTAGAACCGATCGGGCCCTCCCTAGGGGGCACAGAGTAAAGGGCTCACAGGGGACCGAAACAGCGAGACGCGTTTATTTCGGATTTCCTCGTTAAACAGAACGACAACGTTCGTGTGTATCGCGATCGGGGAATTCGCAAATTCTCCGCCGTGGTAGTCGATGACTCGCTGGCGGAGCGTGCGAGACGTGTCTCTTGGATCGAAGCCTAGAAACGTTCACGGCGCCAGTAATAACCGGGGGAAAGATAAACGATGCTTTTGATCGTATTCGATCGGGTGATGAAGTTGATTTTACACCAGGAGACAGCCAATTATCAACGGTGGAAATTTGGGTAAATGGAGTGAGTTTTCGGTATGTGGTCCAACAACATCTTCAATCCTCGGCGACCTGAAATCGAGTAATTGGTTGAAAGATGCTTTTAATTAAAAGCAACGTTTATTTATTCCGATGTGTACAGTGTCGTGCATTAGATACAACATTTGACTATCTCTTTCGTAAATGGGATCATCGTTGAGATCAAAATTCGCTTTCGTAAATTTTTCGAACCAACGTTCGTATTTTCTAAGGTTCAGAATTTCACTGGCATATAGACAAATATTGCTCGTTGCCGTAACCACGGTATTAGTTTTTCTAAATTCACGTAGCATTGCTCCTCTAAAACACTCGTTTCCATTAACGCTAATAACCTAACCTCACAAAAATACCCAGCATTAAATCAAACAAACGTCTAACATCTTCGTGCAAACAACGAATTAGTATTCAAACAGATCGGTACATCAAACGACTAACAATCGAGAATTAAACATCTGACAAAAATTTCCCACCAAACTGCAATAATTTCTGCAACCCCGCGCATCAATCCCCAAGAAACCCACCACACGATCCCTTCTCAAACAATCCCAATCTCAAGTACCCCGCGTAACAATCACCGAACGTAGAAAAACGCGAAGAAAAGAGACGACACCGCGAAACAATATAAATTACGCAATTCAATTAGACGCAATCAATCGACACACTCATACACACACGTACACAGAGTAATAGAAGGTGGTAGCCTGCGGCTGAGCGGCGTGGAGCTGAAAGATACGAGGCCGGTGGCGGAAATAGGCAAAGAAAGAGGCGGAAAAAGGAGAATAAGAGAGAGAGAGAGAAGGGAGAGACGTGTAGCCGGTCGGCGGCCTGTACGACGGGGCAAGAACGATCGCGCGTTAACGAGATACAAATCCCATTACGGCGTAAACCTTCTCGATCCGTCGCCCCCTACGGACTTCCAACCCCCAGGCACAGTGCTAGGCTACGGGCTATGGGCCACGAGCCACGCCAATTCGGATAAAGTCCCTCTCTTTCTCTCTCTCTCTCTCTCTCTCTCTCTCTCTCTCTCTCACCCTATATATATACATATACATATATACACACATATACATATATATATGTCTCCTCTTTTTCTTGTCTCTTCTCTCTTCTCCTATCCGTCTCTTTCAATCTCTCTCTCTCTCTCTACTACCACTACCACCCTCTGTCTCTCTATCTCTCTTTCTGTCTCTGGTTTTATCCGGAAACCTATCCCCACCCTCCCCCGCCT